GGACCTTGTCCAGGCGGGTCTGGAATATCTCCAGAGAAGGAGACTCCACAGCCTCCCTGGGCAGCCTGGGCCAGGGCTCCGTCACCCTCAGAGGGAAGAAGTTCTTCCTTGGGTTCAGCTGGAACTTCCTGTGCCTCAGTTTGTGCCCATTGCCCCTTGTCCTGTCACTGGGCACCACTGAAAAGAGCTTGGCCCCCTTGGTTAGCAAGAACATTTCAACTTCTTTGAACCCGAGTAGCTTCCAAACAGCTGAGGCAGGGTAAAATGTTGGGGATTTTTCCTGCATGGGAGCGCTAGCCTGCCTGAAGTACAGAGTTGAAGATGAAACTTCTTCTCATTTATTTGTACACGGAAATCAGCGACGATGCACCTTACAGTTAAGCACTCGGGCAGGAACAGCATCAGCTGGAGGAGTTACTTCTGCAGCGTTACTCGTTTCTCTGTCTCCGTCCTTCAGAAACAGTGGCACTGCACAGTACTTCCCACACAACTGCCCTTCCTACCATCACGCTTGGCTCTGGTTTTCAGTCTAAGGGCAGAAAACCCAAACATCAAAAAAGCAACCTGAAGTGATAACGCAGCATTTCAAAAATCCATCAATCCAGAATGCCCAGCCCCAGTTTTTGGGGCTGAGGCGGGGAGAGTCGGGGAAAACGAAGCATCATTCTTTCCTCAAAGCATGTTTTACCAACGAAAAGAATAGCACAGCGAGTTTCTTCAGTTCTAACAGTCTGAAAAGACACTTCAAACTCTGTATTTTCCTTCGACTCTTACATAAGAAAAACGGGAGGATATCGTGAGTGCCCGGGGAGATGTTCTCATGCTGGCTATCGTCCCAACGCCGTTAGTCATTTGGGTGAACCAGAGAAAGAGAGCAGCACAGCATGGCACAGAACAAGCCTGTGCTGCCAGCAATTCAGAGGGGCTTTCTGGCCATTTATCTCTGCTTCTGAAGTTCATTGTTTTCCACTGTTTTTCTCACTCATTAGATTTGCCTTTCATTTATCTGATGGCAAAGCCTCTGGAGATGAAAGGGCACTGCTCTCCCAGGGAGAGCCACAAAGCGCCAAGAACTCCAAAATCTGACAGACCGTGCCTCACCGTCTCGTCAAACACGCCTTGGGGATTTTTACCTTGAGGCTTAGCAGACCTGAGCAGAGATGCCAGAACAGCGTTTCTACAGAGAATTTTAAAACTTACTGGAAAAAAACCTAAAGGACATTTTAAACGACGCATGTGTTGGGAGGTGCAATAGTTACTGCTCAAAGAAAGTTTGACATAATAATCAAACCTCTTAAAAAAACCCCACAACCCAGGCTGTACCACTGGCAATAGGCTGGATAATACATTATTGCAATCTATAAAGACAGATCTAGCGTGCCATAAATATCTCAAAGTGGTACTACATAAACCCAAGTTGCTTTAACACACAGACAAGAGCATGAACAGACAGCTCTATCAAGTATAAAACTAATGGACAGTTTAGGCCCAAATAGAAAACCAAATAGAGAGTGCTGACAGCACAGCAAAAAAACTTGCGCATTAAGAATAAAAAAAATCAGTGGTTCAAGATACGTAAATTGCTTTAGAGAGGATTTATCAAAAAAGTGGCAGGGATCAGGAGACAGAATAGGTAATTGCCAAAACAACCTTTCAACACCACAAAGTGGAACTGAAGAGTCAAACAAAATAATGCAGGACTTAAATTCCTATAATAAATTGTGCTCTAAGCACAGTATAAAATTTGGTTTATGAAGGCTTTAGTTAGTAATTTTTTTTTTTTAAACTGACATGAAAAGGTTGCTTATTTAAAAAAACAAAAGCCAAGAATCAAATAGTTCTCAAACTACAGAAACTACAGAAAGATGCAGCAACATTCCTTAATTCTCGCAATTTAATCTTTAGGCTCTGTGTCAGAAATAAGTAAAAAAAAATCCACGACACTCATAGGTTTTATTAACACTGAAACAAGGCTTTTTAAACTGAAATTTTGATGGTTACATTTGTCATCCTTTCTGTTCTAATGATCTCACTCCATCCACCCAGCTGGAGCAAGATGAGAAAAGGGAGAAAGTCCAGCGCAGCGGTTTGCTTACACAACCAGAGTAGAAAGAAGTCTTCGAATAAACGTGGAAAAATTCACCTCCCTATTGCCTGTTAACAAAGAGCTTTCAAATTGAGGGGGTTTTTTTGTGCAACGCTAACAGCAGCATGACAACGGACCCAGAAGAGGGACTACAGTGCTACATGGAGAAGACAGACCTGGGGGAAAGGCTACGACCACCCCGTTCCGGCAGGAATCGGCACTGTTCTCACCTTTGATGCTTGTCGAAGCCATCGCAAGTATTCCGTGAAGTTATCGAAACAAATGTAGTAGGTCTGGCTTTGAGGTCCAGAGGAGCTAAATGCTAAACAGTGCTGGTGCTTTTTCACTTCTTCCACCTACAGCAGAGACACAAACCTGTTAGTGAAGAAGAATCAAAAGCCTCTTTGCAGAACTCCCTGGGGCAAAGATAAAGCGTGCCCGAGACGAGCTCTCCAGGCAGAGTTGGACTAACCCTCCCAAGCACTCAAGCTGGATCTTGGCTGTCAAATATTCATGAAATCTACACAAGCAAGCAATGAGAACAGAAGGATGAAGGAACCAAAGGAGAAAAACCCCAAGAACGTCAACATTTTAAGAGAGACTGAGCTCCATAAAAGGCTTCCCAGTGAAACACATTGAAGGTTGTCTTTATACAACCTAAAGAAGTACAATTTATACTCCCGGTTATTAAAAACAGGCTTAACCAAATGCTTCTCTCGCAGCCCAATTAAATCCTTTGGCACTTCTCAACTTGCTAAAAAACACCCAGAATACATCATTCTGCTACCATACACGAGAAGTCCCACACAACTTCTGGTCTCAATGTCTCAGCACCGCGTTCTGGAAAGCCTTTGCAAACCAGGAAGTGCAGAGTATTTATGGGGCTGAGGAAGAATATTTTCTGAGCAATAGTTTAAAAAACACTTCGTTCTGTGCCAAGCATCCTCCTCCCGAGCTTTGTCAGCAGAAGCCCTCAGTACATTTTTCTCAGCTTGGTTCTCCTTTTCTTCGAAAATCTGTCGTCAACTTACTGCTTACACAGTCTGCATGTTTTACATTACACGAGGCATTTCTGTGCAAAAACAACTTAGAAATTCCACGTTCAGCAATTAAAAAAGAGGGTAAACAGTCTCTTCTCTTTTTGAATTAAGAAAAAAAAAATACTTTTTTTCGTCTCAAAGAGAAGGCCGATGGGGACCTGAATCCTGTCATCTCCATACAGCCAGGAATACAATTCACTGTCAGAGTTCACCCACTGCTGCTAAAAGAGGAAAATATCTCTACTTCAGTACCTCCCGGGAACAGCTGAAGAATCAATCATGAAAGAAGATAGGAAAAACAGCTCCTAGAAGGGACTACTTTCCACATTGCTAGAACAGAATATTAATAAGTCAACTTCGTCTTGCATATATGACATTGTGAAGCTTGTTTCTCTCCCAGTAACTCGTAAGAATCAAACTTCTCAGTATGCAAGGTAAAAGAGCATTATTACAGGTGTAAATCACCCTCAAGCTAATGATTCTCTTCCCACTATCTTGGCTAATCAAGCCAATAACAGTGTCCTGAACCACTATTTGGGCCAAAATAGTAACGGTGCAATCTTGCTGTCTTCACTAAAGTTTCACAGAATCACAGCATGGCTGAGGTGGGAAGGGACCTCTGGAGATCGTCTGGTCCAACCCCTCTACTCAAGCAGGACCACCTTCAGCTCTTTGCCAAGGACCATGTCCAAATGGCTTTTGAATATCTCTGAGGACGGGACTCCACAATCTCTATGGCAACCTGTGCCAGTGCTCAGCCACCCTCAAAGTGAAAAAATTTCTTCCTTATATTCAGACTGGATCTCCTGTGTTTCTGATGTAACTAACCAGAAGAAAGTTCAGCTTCAGCTTTTCACAAGTAAAAACGCTTGTTGCTGTTAGCTTACATCAGACCACTACTCCTACACTGCTGAACGCTCAAAAAAACCTTAATGTTGAAAATAAGCCCATGCCTTTATTAGTTAATTTTCAGATCTTAGAGTAACCCAGCATGGATAAAAACGGGATGAAGAGGCATGGTGCAGAACATACACAATACAGGCGCACGTATTCTTTGGCTGCGTGCTATCGCACACATAAAACCTTTAACACAGCAGACAAGAAAAAGAAACTGAACACGTTTCCCTTGCTTTTCATTAGCACTTTAATTCAGACATTGTAATGTGCTAAATATGAATCTGACCGTAATCAAAAGTAATTCATATTCTTTGATAACCCCATTTACAAGCTTCTGGTGGGCTAGGAATCACCATAATTCAAGGCCATTTTCTCTGTGTAGAGAGATGCAGGTTAAGCAAAGAAATACGGAAGATCTCTTACTTTTCCACCAATTAAAGGGAGGACATGCATCTTTCCCGTCTGGCTTTCTTTCACTGACGAGACAATTAGGCATGTTCCACACAGGATAGCTTGGCGTCTTGTCCATCTGTTGACTGGCAAATGTATTTTCCCTTTTCGAACGTTGTACATTCCTGAGAGCTGAATCCGTTCGGAGCTGCCAATGCTGTGGGGCTTTCCTGAAACAGAAACAAAAGCATCCACTTAATCGCAGAAAATCTTTGTCTCTTTCACTCAAGTCATCCTGAGACTTTCCTCAGCAAGTTTTCAAGCTACAGACCACGGCGCGACAAATGAAACGCAGCTTCAGAACCACGCAAGCAGGCAGCTTAGCATCAGCTTCAGTGCAGGCTTCTTTCATAGGTAGAAGTATACAACAAGTTGGGATCATGGAGAGCAAACTGCAGGCTTGTAGTACATTAAATAACCTGCAGCAGTCACAGAAGCACCCATTAATGGTATCGGTCTTCTCTACGGCACCTGGAAACCAAATGTTCACCCCCAACAGCAAGTTGTTACCACTGAGTTCACACTGAGTGGTAACTGCACAAGGGGGTGATGTACTGCGTGCTGACCCACACCTTTGTGCTTTCATGTACCTTCAGGGCATCCGTAAGGTCACGGTTTGCACAGCTTCAAGAGCTTCCCAGAGGATACCGTTCCCACCTGCCCCAGCCCACCCTGCTCAGTCCGAACCCCACCGCAGAGGTAGAGCCCTCAGCCGCAACGTAAACAGATGCAACCAGGTGAGACCCCTCAAAGACCCTGCTTCAGTCGGAGCAGAGCTTTGAAAAGAGTGAAGTTCTCTTGTCTGTACTGCAATGAATTTGCTATTTATAATAATTCAGATTATTAGCAAGACTCCCAGTTAGACCAAATCTGTTAAATGACTTTAAATGGCTCAGATCCGACTAACTTATGAGTAAGATTCAACTCTATAGAAACCATCATTAACAATGGCAAAACAAAGACAAGCATCTCTTGTTTCTGCTCTTCTAGGACCACGTTATTTAAGAGATAAATGGGAAGAAGCACAATTTGCTCGTTCTAATCTGAAGCATTTAATCACATCAAGTTACCCTATAAACCCCAAACACCCCAACCCAGATCCGAGTCATCCAAACACACTAAGGCTTCTGCAAACAGAGACAAGAGGTAATCACATTCATGTTAAAACCCGTTGAAACTTCTGGAAGAATGTTAGTGCTGATGACACTTTGGAAGGGAGCTCCCCTGGACCAATGAACCAAAGGCTGTGTTAATTCCTAGTAGCTTCTCCATCATGATAAAAAATAACTCACTCATTTTCCTACACTAATCTTTACCAAAGTTCTTAAAAATCAAGGGATTAATAACAAGTTAGGACTCCAGAAAAGCAGAGAGTTGATCCTGTCTTCTAACCCCGGTATTTCAGACCAGTGCCAATTAAACTGTGACAATGACAAGTGCTGCACACTATTACTCCAACTCGCTATTACTCCTGCTTGTATGACAGCTCATTTGTCTCAATGAGTCCGCTCTTGCCTTCAAATTATCTATGGGAAGATAGAAGACACCTACCACATGGCCTACCCACTGCCGTTCTCTCACCCCCGCCTACCCTCTGCCAATTCTTGCCCTTATCTTCAAGAGCAGCCCTCTTGAATCTTCCTGCCGGTTTAACGAGCCAAGACTTGGCACAGTTACCCTCGAGCCTTGCTCTGCTCTAATAAACACCAGCACTTCGGCTACCGACGTCTGCCAGTTTGGATCTGCACGAACATCACTGTTGCTCGCAGCTAAAAGATTGAAATTTTAATGCCCTCGGGGTATCGGCATCTAATACAAAAATAGGTGCCCCGAGAAAGCAGTAATTTCACTGCCAGGCAGATTCAAACCCAGCAACAGAAGCTGCGGATAAAAACACTTTGCCCAGAAGAATCGAGGGGAACAAGGGACGCCCGGTCTACGCAAAGCTGCAGGAAAGGCGCGCGGCACAGAAGTGAGCAAAATACAGCAACTCGGCCTTAATTCGCACAAAAGCTGAATCAAACTTTACATTTGGAATATGAAAAATGTGGTTGCTAAAAGGAACTGATAATTTACCTAGCTTGTGCAGAACGATGGACTCCATGCCACAAAGCACTAATTAAAGAATTAACCGCAGACAGAAACAATACGATCTCTGTAATGGAGTAAAAAGTGCTTGGTAAGTATTAATAGCATGGTTGTACAAGGAATAGTTGTCAGGGGCGTGGGCAGTTTCACCTCAAAAATGACGTTTTCGGGTGATCTTCCGGGGCCTGTTCCCAGCTGTGTGCTCGGTTCACTGGAAGAGCACAGCCCGCTGCTGGCTGAACCCCTCAGGACTGCACAGCTCAACCTCAGTCCCTTGGGAAGCCGAGTTTATTTAGCCACACGCATTTTAATGCAGCCGAACGCAACTTTACTCACCCAGGAACAAAGGACATAATTCACACTTAATATGGGAAGACTTGTGTCCTGGAAAACATCAAACCCCCGACGTTCTTCGGGATTATGGCGGATAACAAAGACAACGAGCTCCCGTTACAGTGCGGCAGCCAAGAGGCTTGGCAGGAAACACCACAGCGTTCGGGAGCAACAGAAAAGTAACTCTACCCTGCCTAGACTAGTGGTAAAACAACTACCACACTTCACGACGGGGTGCTGAGAAATTAGTCTTCAGTGAAGTTACGGGCGAGGGAAAGCAGCCTGAGCGACCCGGTTCCTAGGATCAGACTCTCCTGGAATAGCTCCATGAAGTTAGGCACAGCTGGATCTCGAACACTACTCAGAAGTCTCTAACAGGCAGTCCTTCAATGTTCATATAAAACCACCAAGGTTGTAAGTCTCAGTAACCATCAGTATCATCAGTAAATGTTTACCAGAAACGCCAGAACAGAGCTATCACTAGAAGTACTCACAGAATCACAGAACATTCGGGGTTGGAAGGGACCTCTGTGGGTCACCCAGTCCAACCCCCTGCCCAAGCAGGGTCACCCAGAGCAGGCTGCACAGGACCTTGTCCAGGCGGGGCTTGAATATCTCCAGAGAAGGAGACTCCACAGCCTCCCTGGGCAGCCTGGGCCAGGGCTCCGTCACCCTCAGAGGGAAGAAGTTCTTCCTCATGTTCAGCTGGAGCTTCCTCTGCTTCAGTTTGTGCCCGTTGCCCCTTGTCCTGTCGTTGGGCACCGCTGGAAAGAGTCTGGCCTTTTCTCTCAAACTTCAGATTTGATGGGAAAACTAGCAGGGTAAGAATCTGCAGTTATTCCTACAAACATAAAATCAATTTAAGAACAGCCCCTTCAAACTCTAAGGGTTTAAGGTGCAAGTACTAACCCTTGCTACGTGAAAGCTAGAAGGTTCTTGGTGACAACACACAGGAATCAAACACTGGGCCTATCTCCTTAAAGCAAACGGTTTCTCTCTTCTATTCTTGTCTGCTTCACTACATCACCAACCATCTGGTCGGAGCAGCTGATCTCTCGAGGTGCCTTCCAACCTGGGCTCTTCCACTATTCTACCATTCTCCAACTTGCCAACCCCGTGTTTATTACTGGATCCCGTGTTGTCGCCTGGGACACAATCTGCTCGCCTATCATTCAGTTTTCTTCCTGCGCTAAAGGGTTGTAAGCACTGAGGTTTGATAGTATCACGCTGTTCTATTCTCATGCAAGTGGGGAAAAGAAAAAAAGTCAAAAGCCGCCGGCTTATTTTAAGTGGAGTTTATTCAAGGGCATACCAACTAGTCCTGGAAGCAGGTCCCTAAATCCACAGAAGCTTCCCAGGTAACCGGGAGCGAAAGCCACTTGACGAGCAGCTTTGCCTTCTGAAAGAGAAGCTTGGACAGACCACAGCTTCAAAGAGCTCAGATACCTGCTGCCAGGAGAGCGTAAAAAGCAGGAAAAGTTTAAATGACAGCGAGCTCTGCCACGACAGAAGAAGGCTGGGACTCCGAAACAGCACGAAGCGATCCTCAGACCGGCTGCTCCTCATCACAGGGAGGACGGCAGCAGAGCCCCACACGGCCCCGCAGCCCCGCTCCTGCAAGAGGGCTCATCCCTGATGATGGTGTCCCCGAGGACAAGGAAAGGGCTCAGAAGCGTACCTGCCTTTTCTATGGCCTGGAAAAAAAACCACACGAGGGGGCGAATGACCTTTTTCTTCCAAGTTTACAGGAGGGATGGGGCAATTTGGACTTCACCAGAACGCCTTCAGGCTAAGGATGGAAGACCACAAACGATGGCATAACCGCAGCACCACCACCAAAAACCAGCTGGTTTTGAGGTAACCTACCAGTGCCGGCAAAAGCAGCAGCAGTTCTGAAATTACCCTTCCTCAATCTGTCTCAGAATCACAGAATCACAGAATAGTAGGGGTTGGAAGGGACCTCTGTGGGTCATCTAGTCCAACCCCCCTGCCGAAGCAGGGTCACCTACAGCAGGCTGCACAGGGCATGGTCCAGGCGGG